GAAACAACTTCAGGAACTCAGAGATTAGGGTTTTGAAACCAAGCAAGTTTAGAGATGAGAAGCACACAAAGCACGTAAAAAGTGGCCTCAAACTCGAATGAAACCCCCAAATTCTAGGGTTTTTACCATTAATCGAGTCTAGAGACGAAAACAAGCAAGTCAGGCAAAAGAATACTAACGAAATAAGTTCAGAAAACTCAAAGGGACTGAGACCTTCAACATGTATTTCCCAGAAAACTTAATGAAAACATAATAAAAGAAAAATCGTGCAAAATATAGTAGGGGAAGTCATAAGAGCAAGATAGAAGAAAACACAGCAGAAGAAAACACATAAGAATCACAGTAGAGCATGTAAAATCAGAGAAACCCTAAATCGGAGAAGATGAGAGGTTTGAAAGCAAACTTTTGAAAGAAACTTTGAGAAATTATTTGAAAACCTTAAAATAAACATAGATCTAGAACAGATCTGGAGGAATCAGGAGAACCTCGAAAGGCTAGGGTTTCAGAAGAACCCTAGAAGCGAGAAAGCCTGGAAAAGTCACGATCTAAGCTAGAGAATATCACAATCAGGCTCAAAAGACCAAGAGCCACCGGAGCAAAGCCGGAGATGGCCGGGATCTTTGAATAGGTGAAGATCTGAGCGAGGACCTTCGGGGTCTGGCCTCGAACCTTCAGGTATCAAGCACGTGAGAGCAGTATGGGGTGAGAATAGGTCGTCCATGGTTAGAACAGCCATAGATTCCAGTGGATTTGGGGTTGGAGGTGCCAGAGAGCGATTAGGGTTTCAAGAGAGCTCGAGAGCGTTTGAGAGAAGAGAGGAGTTAGAGGCGGCGCTTCCGAAAGAATAGGGTAGGGTTTAGGGGTCGTTTGTAATTAAAAAGGAAAGAAGAGATCTGGGTCGTTGATCAAAATGATCAATGGCTCAGATTTTAAAAAGAAAACGGGCGGGTTTGGGCGATTGGATCAAGTAATCGGGTTTAAATTGATTTAGGGTTGGGATTGGGTTGAATTGGGGTGCAAATTGGGCTGTAATTAAAATGAAATTGAGGCCAGATTTTAAATAGCCACTTTTCCCCAGTTTTATTTTATAAAAATAGCAATGATGGTTTTTAAAAATAAATTTAAAAAATACTGAGTAAACAAATATTACATAAATATTAACTTAAAAATGCTGGAACTAATTTTACAATTATAAAATACTATTAATATATGCAATTTAGCTTTAAAAATACCAAATAAATTCGTAAAAATGTGCCAAAAATCACCTTAATTATATTTTGGTGCAAATGTGGGAATAAAAATGAATTATTCGCCAAATGATAATTTTGGGAATAATTATTGGATTTTGTTGTATTAAAATAGGCAATGAATTGGTTTAAAAATCATTAAAAATGCCAGAACTCTTGGGTATGCTTATATATGCACATATATGCTATTTTGGAAGTATTTTGAGTATAAAATTACTAGGGAAAAACTGGGTATCAACAGGTACTCGTTACCTCACATATACATTGTACCTAACATTCAAACACGTAACAAATAGGCAAATAAGACCTAATCCCTCAAGCCAAGGTTAACCACGACACTTACCTCGCTCCAATGGCCAAACTCAAAGCTCAACCACAGCTTTTTCCTTCAAACAAGCCTCCGAACCAATAGAATCTAGCAAATTACCAACCAAACGATTCAATTGAAGTCTTAGGAACTATCCATGATTGCAAAGAATTCAATTTAGGCCATTTTTGAAAAAGTAAACAAAAGTCAACACCCGGGCTTGCTTGGTCCAAACCCGAAATTGGGACCAAAACCCGATTACCTATTTAGCCCCGAGCCTGGATATGTAATTAGTTTTGGAATACAACCTCAATTTGAGGTCTAAATCCCCAATTTATCAAATCCCTAGTTTCTACCCTAATATCCCCAATTTCACCATGAAAACCTTAGATTTTAGGTTGAAATCTTGTAAAATAAAGTGAAAGATTGAAAGAAACTAGTTTAGGATCACTTATCTATGATTTGGGGAAGCAGTGGTCTTTGGATAATCGCCTAGAGAGTTTCTTGTTTTGAAAGTTTTGCAAAATGAGCGAAAATCCCGTCCAAGTCAAGTTTTACCAGCTGCAGATGTCGCAAATGCGACATGGGCTTCGCAAATGCGAAGCCCGCAAATGCGAGAAATCCATCGTATTTGCGAAGATTCTCACATTTCTGCCATCTTCGCAAATGCGAATAAGTTCGCAAATGCGAACTAAGCTGGGCACAAATGCGACCTCACGATCGCAAATGAGAAGACTGCCCCCGCCAGACCCATATCGCAAATGCGACGAATACTTCGCAAATGCGAACTTGTATGGCCCAGCTTCTCTTCGTATTTGCGATGAGAAGCTCGCAAATGCAGACCCCTGAGAGGTCGCAGTTGCGATGCCTGATCTCGCAAATGTGGGATCAGAGGCCTGCAACCTGATCAGTTACACCAGCAATTTTTTCCAAGTTCAAATCATTCTGTAGCCTTCCGAAACTCATCCGAGCCCTCGGGACTCCAAACCAAACATGCACCCAAGTCTAAAAACATCATATGGACTTGCTCGCGTGATCGAATCGCCATAACACCTAGAACTACGAATCTAGCACCAAATCAAATAAAATTCTCGAGAACACTTTAAAATTTCTATTTTCTCAATCGAGCGTCCGAATCACGTCAAACCCATTCCGTTTTCATCAAATTTCACAGATAAGTTATAAATGTGATATTGGTCCTATAGCGAGTTCTCGGCATTCAGTTATCTGAGGCTATTCCTTACATTGTGGCATATCGTGTGAATATTGCTTTTGATAGAGAAGGAAATGACTCTATTGTGACCACAACGGATTTCACTGCGGACTCCTTTCCACTAGTGCAAGCTAACACAATGGCTCTTTCCTTTTCACCAGGAACTTATGCCGAAGAAGAATGGACATCTGGGGCATTGCAGATACTATCACCATTTTGATAAGCTATATGAGGATGTATATTTCTGTATGCATTACATTGGGTGATAATCCATGCTTATCTTCTTCTTATATTCATTATGGTTAAATGCTTTGACTGATTAGGAAGTTTACAATAACTTGGTGGGAGAGTTTCAAGTGCCGCAAAAAGTCAGTTTCCAGTTAACTAAGTTTATGCTTTGGTGGAGGTTAGCTACTGGAATGTTTACCTGGGATCTCTCATTTAGCTTACGGCTAAATGCTTCTACAAGGTGGCAAGAAAAGACATATACGTGGCGGATTACATTAATGCCACTCCAGTTAATACATCTGGTGCTATCTATTGAGGGCCACAATGACCAATGTTTTGATTGGTTCATAACAAACACTATTAGAAATTCAACAAAAACCGACCAAGAAAAACCGACCAACTTTGGTAGGTAAAAAAAACCGACCAAAGTTGGTTTAATTTGTATATTAGCCGAGTTCTCACAGGAGACAAGAGATGAGGGAAAATTAAATCTAATTAATGCAGTTAAGGTCAATTAGAATTTAGATGTAATCTTTCTTATTGATATTAGATCCCTTTTTACCAAGAAAGAGAAAGAAACAAAAAATACTACAGATAAATGGCAGAAGTTAATCAATCTATTTATATTATTAGAGTTGGGTATTAATAGGATCCAGATTTCTTTAGGTGATTTTAATGACGACTTCATATTAAACTTTAACTCAAGGATTTTTCAGAGACTTAGTGCTTTAAGTATTTTGCAAAAGACTTAAGTATTTAATAATTTTTTAAAGACCTTTAATTATGTGACTTTGAGTCTTTAATTATTTTGAAGTGTTCTTCGAATATTTTCGAAGACTTCTTGAAGTCTTGCCGAGTAATTTGTACTTCCTCCGTCTCATTTAAGTTGTCATATTTTCTTTTTACATGTCCTTTAGGAAGTCATAAATAAAAATATTTTTTGACTATTTATCCTTGTATCTCTTTACTAAATGTGTACGCTATTAATATTGTTTACTTTCAATAGCTATCCCATTGTTTCTGTGCCTAACAGCTTGTTTGGATGGTTGTTAGATATCGTTTTATAATGTATTGTATTGTATTGTATTGTTCTGTATTGTTTGATAAATATAATGTTTGGATAGATTGTATCGTTTGCCGTTGTTTCATGATATCACACACCAGCAATAAATTAGCAATATTATAAAAAAAATTATAATACGAGGTAATTTATTGTATAAAAAGGTAGGTAAATGATAAAATAAATTTATTTAATAGTAATGAAGGGTGACATGAGAGAAAAAAATAATGTAATGATGCGACCACACCATATCGGTCGTTACATAAAGTGGCACATTTCGTCGTTACGTATCGACGAATTTAACAATACGATACAATAAAATTTAAGTAACAATGAAAATAAACATCGTAGCTAAAGTGACAATACGATACAATACAATAGGTAACAACCATCCAAACAAGCTGTAAGGAAAGCTAATTATTCCCCCTCAATTATACCGGGCTGAGCAAGTTAGACATGCATACAAGCCAAAACTGTATAATTATACCCCAAATCAAATTACAAGAAGACCTTCCAAACATGCCCTCTGTCTCAAATTATGTGTCGTGATTGCTAAAAATAGTTGTCTCAAATTATTTGTCATTTTAGAAGTTGAAGACATAATAAATTATATTTTTTCCATTTTATCCTTAATAGTAATTGTTCTTAAAAATGAAAATAGCACATAAATAGAATAAATAATTCAATAAAGAAAGATCATATCTTCAAATATAAATGAGGATTGAGGGAAAAAATTAAATCTAAAAAAATCCAGTCCCAGACCATCTCTCTCCTTATTAGTTTAATTATATTAGACTTTGTGTTTAAACTTTAAAGACACCCAATACATACTATATATACCCAGCAGTTGCACTTCCCTCTTCACCAATTTCATTCTTCTTTTATTTGCGTAAAAGAAAAAAAACTACAGTAGTAGGCTTGCATAATTATTTGTGGAATTCGAAAATGGAAGGAAAAGGAACATTGAGAAACAAGCAAGTAGTGTTAAAACAATATGTGAAAGAATTCCCAACAGAGGCTGATTTTTATGTTAATCCTAATTCAAGAATTATCCCATCAATTCCTGATGGAACAAAAGCTGTTTTGCTGAAGAATCTCTACTTGGCCGTTGATGCTGACTTACGTCGCCGATTGTCTAATTCTGAAGATTATTACTCTGAGGAAGATCAACATGCAGATAACATTCAACTGCAGCTTCATCCCATCAAACGTGGATCAGTACGTACTACTCATGAGTTTAATTTAATTAATTACTCCCTTATTAACCACTGATTTAATAATTTGTAACTTTCAGGTTATATCAGGTTACGGCGTGGCTAAAGTCTTCAAGTCTACTAATCCAAATTTTAGGGAAGGCGATTATGTCTGGGGAGTTACTGGTTGGGAAGAATATACTTTGATAAAAGATGATCCTCAATTTCTAAGAAAAATCAATCGCTTCGACGATACGGTTTTAAAATTGTCGTATTACACTGGACTTCTTGGTACCAAATCTTAAAACACGAGAATTACTTGCCTTTACTAATTAACGTAATTACTAATATGTTCTAATTAATATATCTATCTGAGCTTAATTCAATATGTAGGTATTGGAGGATATGAAGCTTATCTTGGCATTTCGTACGTAGCAGAACCTAAGCAAAGGGCAGTTTGTGTATATCTCAGCTGCAGCAGGAGGTGTTGGTCAACTTGCTGGACAATTTGCCAAATATCTGAATGGCTGTTACGTGGTTGGAAGTGCAAGCACCGATGAAAAGGTACCTGACTTTATTAACATACAATATTTCTTCACTGCTTAATAGTAGGGATGGCTAACAGGTCGGGTCGAATATGGACGGGAAACGAGAAATATAAAAAATAGATAAATTATTCGATCCGACCTATATTTAATACGGGTAAAAACTGACAGATAATATGTATATCCATGGCTTCTTGAATGTGATCACTTTTGGGAGAATTACTAGTCTCTCAAACTTGAGGAATCCCAAATTTGAGTCTTTACAAATGTAAACGTTAAACTTATTAGTTATCCATTGGTTATCCATTTTCTAAGTATGACTTTTATTCAAATTTGATCCGTTTTTAAAAGTTTTATTATCCAACCCCTTTATTAATGGATAATATGGTTGGATAAATATTTTCTTTTATCCATTTTGCCACCACTACTTAATCGTATAACATGAATTTATTAATTGTCTATTTACTTGACTTTGCAGGTTCGTTTATTAAAGAATGAATTTGGATTTATGATGATGCTTTCAACTACAAAAGAGAAACGGATATAGGGGCAGCTTTAAAAAGGTTAGTATGAGAAATTTACCCCAAACTCCTTTTTTTGATATGCTTTTCTGTTGCATCTGATGGATCACATTAATATATAAAATAAAAAAATTTACGAGAGAATGAATTCTTCCTAAAACAAAACTCTTGTAATAACTACATTGTAAATTATATTGCTATGTTTTAGTTGAAATCTTTGCGGGTTATGGTTCAACCGGCCCCGCCCCCTTGCCATTTTTAGACTCAAATATGATAAAAAAAATCAGCACAAAAACCCTAACAATTTTCTGTTGTATCTGATCACATTAATTAATTAATTTCAGGCATTGTCCAAATGGCATTGACTTATATTTTGACAATGTGGGAGGCCCCTTGTTGGATGAAGTGCTACTGCACATGAATGCTAATAGTAAGATCGTTGTTTGTGGAATGATATCTCAGTATAGTCTTGAAAAACCAGATGGTATTCACAACTTATTTCAGCTTATCACCAAACGCATTACAATGGAAGGGTTTAATATTGATAAGGATCATTTGAATTTTGAACCATTACGATGGATTTGTCGACAAGGTTGCAGCAATGCTGGACCGTGAAAATATAAACTATAAGGAAGATCAAACTGATGGATTGGAAAATGCAGCAGCTGCTTTAATTGGAATATTTCATGGGGAAAATGTTGGCAAGGGAGTCATCGTCGTCGCTGAGGACTAGACATTTCCAAGAACGAAGACGACGATCATTTGATTTTATAATTTTGCATGCTCCCAATTATATTTGTATCTTTTGCTTGTTTTCTTAATTTCCCTTTCTTGTTGAGGCTGAAAACAATTCGTTCTGAAGTTTGTTATCGGTTTGAATAAAATCCACTAGGTTCGGGTGGATACGCTATGTTATTTTCATTGTTCTGCTTTTTACATATTATTCCTCTTGAATTAATAATAAAACTTTCTTGAGTTTTTCCTTACTTTTTTCCTTTTTCTTCTCTTTATTTTCTTATAACCGACCTACTAGTGGTGACAAATTGGCTGTTTGGACTGTATTTGAGCTGGTCAAGATGAACCGGATATTAAATGGGTAATTGCCCAATCCCACCCAAAGTTCACGGGAGAAATCCAAAATAGCAAGATTTACAAGTGGTCATTTAAAAACAGCTACAGTTTCAAAAGTAAACAAAAGCCACTTTTCATATAAAGATAAATCCGAACGAAACACTGTTAAAAATTCGGAAAAATACTCCAGTATAATATACTGGAATTCCAGTATAACTCCAGTATATTATACTGGAGTTCCAGCATAAGTATACTGGGACTCCAGTATTTTATATTGGAGTTCTAGTATAATATACCGATCCAGCATACTATACAGGAGATTGGAGCATCGGTGCTCCAATCTCTAGTATATTATACTGGAACTTTCAGCGTGTTGGAGTTCCAGCCTAATATGCTGGAAGTTCATACACAGGTGCACCAATCTCCAGTATATTATGCTGGAACTTTCTGTGTTGCAGCAAAATAGTGGCTATTTTTCAATGACTTTGTAAACGCTGGCTATTTTAGAATGACCAGTCCGAAAACTGGCTAGCCCGTGCTATTTTTACAAAGTTTACTTGGGTTAAGATGGGTTAAACAATATGCTGCAACCCAACCCGCCCAAATTAACCAAATCTTTGCAATATTCTCAACTTTTAAACGCCCATATACAAAAAATATTTTCACATATATAACCGTGATTTTTATTTTTGTTTTTCGTAAATATCATTCTAGAATAGTTTATGATGCTGAATTTCTTTTTTTCTTGTTGCTTCTTGTTTTGTATTTTTGAATAAATGTCAATGTCACGACCCAAAATCCACTAAGGGTCGTGACGGCACTGGACACACTGTCAGGCTAGCCAACACCAGGAAGTTAATTAAATTTTCATTTAGTATTTGTTGAAATTATTTTCTTTATACATTAAATAAAAAAATAATGAAATTCACAGAAATAAACATGAAGTCTTTAACAAACTTAATATTGAATAATCCCATAATCATCCCAGAACCCGGTGCCAAAAGTGCATGAGCTATCTCTAGGAAACAATGTAATACAACAATCATCAGAAATACAAATTGGACAGAAAGTAAATAGTGTAATCTGAAAGAGACTCTGCTGGCTGCGGGTCTTCTCGAGAAGTGCAGCTCACCTAAGTCTCCGTATCAACCATGTTGCTACGCCCACTAGGCCACTAGAGATACATGTGCATGTGCAACCAAAAATACACAGCAAGTGTATCATGAGTATAAAAACAACGTGTACTCAGTAAGTATCCGGTCTAATCTCGAAGAAGTAGAGACGAGAGGTCGACTTTGACAGTTACAAGGGGTCCAATAATAATAATACCAACAACATAGAAAATTGGGGATTTTCATAAAAATGACTTTAACTCAATAGCATGAGGCAAGTCAATAATTCTTTTATTAATAGGAAATTTCCAAATTTATTTTCATCATTTATACATTTATCTCAGGACAGGGAGAAAATATCATCATTTATAGATTTGCAAGTCAAGCAATACAAGCATGCGCAAACCATGCTGAGGTCGTACGACTCGATCCAACAATATTTAAACTGTGCACTGCCAGAGGATCGATGTCACGAATCATATATGCATCCATTTAACCTACCGAGGCGTTCAGCCCATTCCATAATAGATAAACATATTCAAGCAGTCATTCAAGAATTCATCAAGTAGTAATTATTCAAGAAAAGGCAATTTCCCTTTTTAAAAATCAAGAAATGATATCTAGTCATTTAGAAATTCATTTATACGTCGATAAGTGTTAAGCATTTTAAATTGTCAACAAGATTGCAAATATTATAAGTAAAGCATGCTTTTGGGTCCTAGACTACCCGGACTTAAGCATAATAGTAGCTAAGCACAGACTCTCATCAGCTCGTGCATACGTAGCCCCCACAAATAGAAGCACATATCCAATTAATTCACCTATGGGGATAATTCCATCTTACAAGGTTAGAAAGGAGACTCACCCCGCTCCGAAACTCCATAACCAACTCCCAAGCCCTTCCGACGACTCAAACCGATGCCTGGCGCTCCAAAACTAGTAAATAAAGGTGCAAACCCATAAATATAAACTCTAATACTCTTTAAAAATCCAATTTATAACAATTCTCAACTCCGCTCAAAAAGTCGATAAAATTACCCTCGGGCTCACATGCCCGGATTCCAAAAATATTCGAAGATAAACTTTACCCATAACCTTACAATTTCAAATATATAATTTATTTCCTATTTCATGCCTAAATTCGTGGTCAAAATCCAAAAATACTAATTTCTAAGTTTTTCTTCAAAACCCCAAATTTTCCTTTAGATTCTCATGAATTTTGATGTTAAATCTAAGGTATAATCACAAAATATAATTGAAAATTGGTTAGAGGCACTTACCCAATGATATGATACTAAAATCCTCTCTCAAAATTGCCCATTCTCGGACCTAGGGTTCAAAATATGATAAAATGAAGCAAAAACCCGAGTTACACTGCTGAAAACAAGCTGCACATGTCGCATTTGCGATACAGGGTTCGCAATTGCGAACCCTCGCAAAAGCGAAGAAAGCCTTCACAATTGCGAACAAGGAAAGGATGGAAAAGGTCGCATTTGCGACAAAATGTACGCAATTGCGAACAACGCATCACAATTGCGATGGAAATGTTCGCAATTGCGACCACACCAGAACCAACAGTTTTTTGTCCGACACAAAAATGAGCATAACTTCCTCATACAATGTCCAAATTCGATGATTCTTTTTGCTATGACTCCGTAATTATGATACAGATCTAATGGGTCAATAAAAACTGAATTTGGAGCTCATTTGCTTAATTTGGTGTCCTTTATTCCCAAAGAAACGACGTTGAAATATCAAATAAGAGCGCAATACAACCCGAAACACACCCGAGGCCCCCGGGACCCCATCCAATCACACAAATCAGTCCCATAACATAACACGGACCTGCTTGAAGCCTCAACTCATGTCAAACAATGCTAAAACCATGAATCGCACTCCAATTCAAGCGTAATGAACTTTAAATTTTCAAACTTCTACTTTTGATGTTTAAACCTATCAAATCACGTCCGATTGACCTCAAATTTTGCACACAAGTCACATTTTACATTACGGACCTACTCCAACTTCAGGAATCGGAATCTGACCCCGATATCGAAAAGTTCACTTCCGGTCAAACTTCTCAAAAACCTTCAAATTTCCAACTTTAGCCAAATGACTACAAAATGACCCACGGACCTCTGAATTCACTCCCGATCGCGCTCCCAACACCAGAATCACCATACAGAGCTATTCCCAGACTCGAAATCCCAAACGGACATCAATAACGCTAAAATTCACTTTAACCCAAACTTATGAAATTCTTCGAAAAATGCTAACTTCCACAATAGGTGCCGAAAGGTTCCCGGGTCTTCTAAAACCCGATTCAGACATACGCCCAAGTCCAAAAACATCATACGAACCTGCTGGAACCTTTGTATCCCGATTTCGAGGTCATTTATTCAAAAATCCAATCTTAGTCAATTCTTTCAACTTAAAGCTTCCGAAATGAGAATTCTCTCTCCAAATCAACTCCGAACTTCCTAGAATTCAATTCCGACCATGCGTACAAGTCATAATACCTGAAATAAAGCTACTCAAGGCCTCATACCACTGAACAACACCCTAGAGCTCAAGAAACCGGTTGGGTCGTTACATTCTCTCCCACTTAAACATACGTTCGTTCTCGAACGTGCTGAGAACTGCACTAAAGTAGTCTGAAATCACTGCTTAACACCTAGTGCACCTACCCATCTGAACGGTCATAGGGTAAAAGCGAGTAATTGATGGGAATCAGTTACGTTTGAAATAATGGTAGGGTGTGAATGGTATGAGCGGAAACCAGAGCGAAGGTTGCTCCTGTTTGAAGAACGGTTACCTCCTGAATTACCTGCAAAAACTTAAAACACGATGCACGCAAATATATATAGGTTATTGCGGCAATTTAGACATGATGCAAATTCCCTTTGGACCATGAAGATTGTCTTCGAACGATGAGGATGATGTCCTTAGACCATGACATCCTGGGCCATGAATCGTGAGATAAGGGATTCGTAGTACATGAAATGATGTTCTCGGGCCATGAGAATGGTGCCTTTGAATCATGACACCTTTCAATAATGATGTGTAGTATTGAGAGATCCTCAGGCCATGACATGGTGTCTTCAGGCTATGAGGATGATGCCTTCGGATAGAGACATGATGATGGATCATATAAGCAAACAAGACAGATCTTAGTCTTGCATAGGATCGGGACAGAGCTAAGCCCCGGAAAAGGCAAAATAGTGCTAGGTTTCAAATAGTCTAACATTCGGCATTAGACAAGGAAAGGCAGAGCTTAGCCTTATGCAGTTGGGGAGGCAGGGCTTAGCGTCATGCAAGGAGAGGAGACAATGCTTAGTCTCATGCAGTGGAAGGCAGTTTTTAGCCTTTTGCAAAAAGGGAGGTTGGGCTTCGACTCATGCAAGAACGGGAGACAATGCTTAGTCTCATGCAAGAAAGGGAGACAATGCTTAGTCCCATGCAAAAAAAGGCAGTGCTTAGCCTTATGCAAATAGGGAGGGGGGGCTTAGCCTCATGCAAGAAGAGGAGACAATTCTTAGTCTCATGCATT